AGGGCGGGACCAGCTAAAGCTGTATATGCATAAGTACAGCCCTGTACATCAACGAGTATCTAGATGACTTTTGACATAATTTTTCCCATGACCTCACTTATACCCATCACGACTAAATACTGATTTTGAAATACTATTATATTTTCTTGCCTTTGATTAGATGTAAGTTTTCTTCCATCTTGAGATACGTGTAACTCTCCTAAGAAAAAGATTTTCAACATCCTAATTCATTTAACAATTTTACGTGTTCAAATGATGTGGGAAAGTTATTAGCTAAAGGCAAAGAAGTTTCAAGTACAATTTAGACCTACATGTAGCAAATAGAGAAACGTCTAGAAGGTCCATCAGTAATAATACAGTATATTGATAGCAGGCTCAAAATCTAATTAAAACCAGAAAAGGAGGGAGTTCTAGTAGTATTTTAATCCCCCCCCAAAAAAATTATAAGCAATTAATTATTAAACACCGAACTTTTCAATCATCACTATTGAAATAAAAAAAAAATAAGGACGGTTATTGTTAATTATACATGTATTATAATTGTAACTCATTTTCATGCCTTAAAGGATTCCTGTGGAACGTTCGCAATTAAAAAATGTACTTTTAAAGGTTTAACATCTTTTGATGTGACATTATAAATTCATAATTATAACAGTTAAAAGTAGCGGGGAGGGGGGGGGGGTACTTTCAGCTAGGACGGCCACTACCAACAACCAAGCCCCGAACCCCTCATCCCGAAGGCAAATAAGTCGAGGTGTCACGCAAGAAACATAATTTTTCTCTGCTCTCACGTATTTAACCGCTTTTTATCTAAATATACTAGGCCTACACATCATATCGACAAAAAATATTTTAATAGGAGCCCCTTTTTTTTATTCCATGAACAGGGGAAAACTTCTAAATTCTAATATAAAATCTCATAATCACACATAATCATAGTGAATGTAAACAGTTTATTTTCCCATCCTGCATCGCTCTGCAGGCGCTTTATTTCATTGGTCAATTTCCCAAGGCGCCATTTTTGGAGGATCGAGAAGGACGAAGAAGAAGGTGTAAGCAGCTCGCAAATGTGAAAAGTTGATATTTTCACCACCCAGTGTCTTTAAGACTGTGATAAATGCAATGACCAACGACCAAGGATTAATGTACGTATATTTTTGTTAACTTTTTACGGCAAATAATTGTAATATTTGGCAACAACAAATCTTCACTATCGGAGGCAACTTTTGTTCTGACGCCATTTTAAAAAGTTGGATATCTAAGTTTTAAATTGTTAAGTGCATATATTGCAAGAGAGAGAGAGAGAGAGAGAGAGAGAGAGAGAGAGAGAGAGAGAGAGAGAGAGAGAGAGGGGAGGGAGAGAGAGAGAGTTTTGAGACAGTGATACAACATAACTTAAAATAGATTATAGAGGTCCCAAGGCACCGTATGTTGTAAAATGGCAACGTTTCGCCTTTCACCATGTTTATTAAAATGTATGCTCAATATGTATGTTCTCTCTCTAAATATAAATGAATACTTTTCGGATTTAAACAAAAATATATTTTTAACCCCGCTCAAATTATCCGGATGATAATAGTTATACCGAGCATGGTTTCGTAGTTAAATTCAGACTGTAGTACATCCGGTTTGAATACATACATGTGTTTTCTTCTGACTTTCCGTTTTCGGATAGCCAACTCTTTTGATTTTTGGAACTTATGACTTATGGCAAGGTATGAATGAAATACTTTTGGTTCAAAACCTTGATAAAAGCATCAATATTTTTACAATAAGTGTCTTCAATCTCAGCTTATCCGATTATCATGAAGGATATCATCATTCAGAACAGTTGGAATAGATTGTAGCCAATACTGTAGCATAACCCTTCATCATATGCATGATGATGATATGGAGGGAAAATGTACATAAAAAATTGAATGTAGGTGAAAGTCTGTCCACTTCTCTGAAGAGAATAGGTTTGTTTATTGAAATAGTTTACTGCTCAAAAGATTTTTTTGTACTGTCTAACCTGCTGAGATGAAGATGTAAAAAAAGAAAATTAAGCCTTCATAGTGAATTAATATGGATAGTATGTTTCAAAATGCTTATTACAAACTTGGTAATAAAATACAGAACACTTTAAAGCTGAATACGATTCGTAAAAGGAATCTGTCCGCCATTTTTGTTCCCGAGTCTATCTTCTCTGCAGACCGCTATAAATAGGGCAGCAGTTGGTCACTGTTCAGTGTAATCAGTCTACACTGGTGAAGACGGACGTATGCTATACAGAAGAACTCGGTAGCGAGAGTAATAACGTAATACTTCATCTAATGCAGGAAAATAAGAAACCAAATAAGTTTATAACAATTATAGTTTTATAAGTCAGTAAAATATACAAAAAACTCAGATAAACGTAACTGCAATAAAATGTAAAAAAAAAAAAGGTAATGCAAGATAACCAGCACGATCACGGGTTGCTATTCCATGCCAATACCCGTGACAATAAAGCAGTCAGGTGTAATGATTGCAATGAGTATACCCTAGTATTGATGTATCGTAGATAATGCTATCGAAAATGGCGTATGCCTATTTACGAGTTGTGTTCAGCTTTAAGGAGGCTGGGGGGTCAACAAATTAATCATAAATTAACCACCAGATTTAACTTATTCTTTACATACGGTATCATAAGCTGTCAACTATCATTTGGCAAGGAAAAAATTCAGATATTTTATTTTTAAAATTTGATCATTTTTTATATCTTTATATGGAGCTCTTCTTTTAAAGGAGATAAAAATAGTCTGAAAATGGCTGCCACACCCCAGCCTCGTTAAGTTGAGAAGAAAATAAGTAAATAATCAAGCACAATTAAACTACTTACATACATGTACAGTGTACATGGTATTGTCTAACTGAACAGACTTAGCTGTCATAAAAAATAACATGCTTCTTATATCTGAATATAATTATAAGTTTATAACATACGCCACATTCTACATAACTGTGGTGCAGGCAAACAATGAGTCGAGCACAATATCATATTCTGCTGGTGAGCTATTGCATTAGATTAAATATTTTGAAAAAAAGACTTGTATGAAATAGTGAATTAGTGATGGTTGTCCTGACATAGGAGAAGTAGAATGGTACAAATTAGTTGATGCTCATTTGTTTGAAATTTTTATACGCCTGAATTGATAGATTCGGCACGTGTATTGATTTTGTCCTTTCTGTCTGTTGTCAACTTGAACCATTGCCATGACTTTTGAACTGTGAGAGATAGAGACTTCATATTTGGTATGCATACTACGATAATTAAGTTCTTTGAAATGCAACAAGGTCAATGACCTTGTGACTTTGACTGTAATTATATGTTAAAATAACTTTTTCGAACTTTTGCCATAACTGTTTATCTCAGTGTCTGTCTGTTGTCAACTTAAACCTTCACCATAACTTTAGAACTATATGAGATAGTGACATCATATTTAGTATGCATACTCCACTTATGAAGTGCTTTCACGTGACAACAAGGACAATGATTATGTGATCTTGACTGTGACCTATATGCTAAAAAAAAAATGCTTTTTCGAAACTTTGTTGCCGCCGAGCACATAGTGTTTTACAAGCGCATCTTGTTTCGTTTTTTTTTGCCCATCCCTGTTGTTGCTAATGCTATTACATAATTAGTTTAAATTAGAATGCAATAGTACCTTAACATAATTTATCATTTCAGAGAGAAGAAAACTGCATGACTTTAAAAGAAAACCAGTGATATAAAATCATATAAAATGTATGATGATTCAGGATGTGGTCATTTGGTAAGTGGTAAGTAAATCATGATTGGTATGTATAACAATTGCCTGAAAAAAAAAAATGATTCTAAATTTTAAATACTGAGCTGTGGTTTATCAGCTGTGAGCTACAAGAAGTTTTATGTAAAAGCTAGGACTGAAACAATTTGCCCCCCTCCATGTTATGTATGTATTGTCGTGATTGACATATAATCAGTTCTCTAATACATACACTACAGTAAAACTTTGTCATCTCGAACCTGAATTGAATAATGTTGGTCAATTTTTGTAAAAAGAAAAAAATTAAATTACTTGTTTATAAACCGAGTGTACATGCAATACTGGCATAAAATTACTCATAAGATACATGTATACTTACACCATGATAAAAGCATATGTGTCCGATGCAGCATATGATAAATCATTAACATACAAGTACATGTATATCCATACTGTAATACATATATATTGCATTGTTTTTAGAGACCTGTTCTGTGGATGCCCTTAGACAGTGTGTCTACCCATCACGCCATCTGATATCACTTGTTCTGAGCATATTTCTCTCTCAAACTTAAACTACAGAGAGCCTGTGGATAGAGGATGAAGAGTGATCTTGGACTAATTTTCTAGGTCAAAGGTCAGTATGAAAATGTACTGTATATCTTTATTCAAAGTCGTAGTCCAGAGTATATTTCTCCCTTGGTGTAATCTAGCTTTTATGCAATTGGTGTTAAGGGTCTGCAATGATCTTCAACCAATTTTTTAGGTCAAATATCAAAAATAAAAAAAAATTCTCTCTCTATTAATATTTTTGTTATTATAAAGAGTATATTTTCTCTCAAACTAATTCAACTTAAAGCAGAGTTCTATGAAATTGCAATATATTCTCAATGACATAATGAGGCTGAAAACATTATGTTCATTATGTAAAAATTTTTTTCCTTATCATAAAGCATTAAATTTTGAAGAGACACATTAAATGCTGAAATCATATGTATCATGGTCATGGAAAGTAATTATTGATATTGGTATATTAAAGAACATTGACTGATCTTTCAGATTTCTAAGTTATATTCAAGCATTGTAATTCTGACACATCATATGATAATTTTGTATGAATATTGCAGATCATAGGTGATGTGAAGGAAATACCAGGGAACAGATGTTGAAAGAAGTACTTAATGACGCTTATGAATGGACTTAAATGTGAAAGACTGTTCCATTGTTTATCTCAGAGAGAAGAAAACTGCATGACTTTAAAAGAAAACCAGTGAGATAAAATCATATAAAATGTATGATGATTCAGGATGTGGTCATTTGGTAAGTGGTAATTAAATCATGATTGGTATGTATAACAATTGCCTGAAAAAAAAAATGATTCTAAATCTTAAATACTGAGCTGTGGTTTATCAGCTGTGAGCTACAAGAAGTTTTATGTAAAAGCTAGGGCTGAAACAATTTGCCCCCTCCATGTTATGTATGTATTGTCGTGATTGACATACAGTCAGTTCTCTAATACATACACTACAGTAAAACTTTGTCATCTCGAACCTGAATTGAAGAGGAAAAAACTTTGAGATCTCTCAAAAAATTTGAATGAAAAAGAGGAAATGTTATGAACTGATTTCTTGCTGGTCAGTATTTTGATGACTTTAAGGAAGCTCTAAAAACTACACACTGAAGAGCTCTACTTTGATATTGGGTAGTTTTATGCAGTTAGAGTGATCTGCCCTTAGATTGAGATTAAGAAAAATTTTATTTTACAGTCAGTTGGATTACTTGTAAGAGATTAAATTATTTTTAGCATTATCTAAAATCAAAAATAAAGAAATTATTTGATTATTTTCATAAATTTTCAAAATGTATTAAGTAAACAGCAATGATTTCTGCTTACAAATAGTCCATTGTCTTTGAAAATTTCTTGGGGAAATGATGCACATACGATATGTTCTAAATGAATAAAAAAGGCTCATTATGCACATCTTTATATGATAGATTTTTTTTCTCTCCAAAGATTAATTTCTGTAAGTCTGACACTAAGTTTTTAGAGTTTCCTCAATTTTTTAGATACATGTATTTAATGAAATTATTTGAGGTATTAAATTGTGGTAAATTTTATGACAGTAAAAGGTTATGTGGTTGAAAACAGACCTGGGGTAATGGTAATGTGTAATGGTAATGCATTGTAATCATTACATTTTTTCAAAGTAATGGGGTGCAATGTGTAATGGATCCATCTTTCAATTACAAGCAATTGTAATTTATAGTTTGGTTGAAAATACTTAAAAAAACAGCATGCATGCATGACAATAGGGCTTAAATTTTTAATGTCTCTTAATTTTTCAGTGACATTAAAACAGGAGTTGTCATCACCAATAGACAAATTTCACATTGCTAAGAGTTGTCTCCAATTGTCGGTGTATCGCTCATTCTTCTCACTTTGTCCTTTGTAAGTTACTTGTATTTTTTCAATCTTCAAACGATATTGGACAATTACGATCTGTATCTGTATGGCCAGAGTATGGGGTAACATGAAAATCATAATGAACATGTTCATACAGATTTCACTTCCAAGATATTGACCCTCAAAGTTGGTACGGTTATATAGAGGGTAAACAGCGTCTTAAGCCGATTGACCCCAGATTGACCCTGCAAAGGGGAATAACTTTTGTAAATGTGAAAGTTGTCTATGGTATATCATAGAGATCTAAAACTGACTGAATTTTGATCCACCAATTCATGAACATGATGAGTGGATGTAAATAATGTTGGTCAATTTTTGTAAAAAAAAAAATTAAATTACTTGTTTATAAACCGAGTGTACATGCAATACTGGCATAAAATTACTCATAAGATACATGTATACTTACACCATGATAAAAGCATATGTGTCCAATGCAGCATATGATAAATCATTAACATACAAGTACATGTATATCCATACTGTAATACATATATATTGCATTGTTTTTAGAGACCTGTTCTGTGGATGCCCTTAGACAGTGTGTCTACCCATCACGCCATCTGATATCACTTGTTCTGAGCATATTTCTCTCTCAGACTTAAACTACAGAGAGCCTGTGGATAGAGGATGAAGAGTGACCTTGGACTAATTTTCTAGGTCAAAGGTCAGTATCAAAATGTACTGTATATCTTTATTCAAAGTCGTAGTCCAGAGTATATTTCTCCCTTGGTGTAATCTAGCTTTTATGCAATTGGTGTGAAGGGTCTGCAATGATCTTCAACCAATTTTTTAGGTCAAATATTAAAAATTTAAAAAAAATTCTCTCTCTATTAATATTTTTGTTATTATAAAGAGTATATTTTCTCTCAAACTAATTCAACTTAAAGCAGAGTTCTATGAACTTGTAATATATTCTCAATGATATAATGAAGCTAAAAACATTATTTATATTATGTAATTTTTTTTTCCTTATCATAAAGCATTAAATTTTGAAGAGACACATTAAATGCTGAAATCATATGTATCATGGTTATGGAAAGTAATTATTGATATTGGTATATTTAAGAACATTGACTGATCTTTCAGATTTCTAAGTTATATTCAAGCATTATAATTCTGACACATCATATGATAATTTTGTATGAATATTGCAGATCATAGGTGATGTGAAGGAAATACCAGGGAACTGATGTTGAAAGAAGCACTTAATGACGCTTATGAATGGACTTAAATGTGAAAGACTGTTCCATTATTTATCTGATATATTTGAATATTTATTCATATATAATATATATGAATTTATTTAGTATTTTGATATCATATAAAAATACTTTTACAGCTTTTGTACATCAAATGAATTATTAAACATATAAATGATAATGCTTTTTTCTCTTCATGTAATATTTATAGATTTTGAAACGAATACACAGTTTACTCACCAAGGAAATTAATAATATATATATATACAGTAATGTATACGGTGTACATGTATTTTGATTTAAACTGTTGTTATATTTTCACAATGTAGACATGAAAGATTTACCAATCCATGACAAAATACAGAGATCATTGAGCTTCCAGTCAATCATTTCCCAAAATTTAAATTCTTTATTTACCCTTTAATTTCCATAGAGTGGAAATTTGCACTATCATTTCCCATCGCTTCCTTTAGAAAAGTTAGGGAATCTTGAAGTTTTCCAGTAATTTTCACCAGGAATGGGATACCAGATAATTCCACCAAGTTTCCGTCTCACGAAAACTGCTACACTAAAGTACCATTTGGTTTCCTGAGTCAAGGAAACTTTAGGAATCGTGAGGTTTCCCGAGCTTTCATGTAGTTTCCCGTAATAGGAAACCTTAAGATTCCATCGAGTTTCTAGTCCACAGAAACCACTACGCTCCGATTCCATATAGTTTCCTTAGTCAGGGAGATTTTAAGAATCATGAGGTTTCCCGAGTCTACATGTAGTTTCCCGTAGTGGAAAACCTAAAGATTCCATCAAGTTTCCAATCCACCGAAACCACTACTCTCCGATTCCATGTTGTTTCCTGATTCTGGAAACCAGTGGAATCTTCAGGTTTCCCATTACGGGAAACTACGTGGATGTACGGGAAACTTCAGGTTTACCGAGGTTTCCGAGGTTCGGGATACCTTATGGAATCGGAGCATAGTAGTTTCCGTGTCAAGGAAACTTGATGGAATCCGCTGCGGAAACCACCGGGAAACATGATGCAAACTGAAGGTTTCTATGTGGTTTCTTCAAAGTTTCCCATGATGGGAAACCACTTTTTTCACCCAGTGATGCATCTTTTCTATACCAACCTCAGATTACTTGTGTGTACAGTTAGAATGTTTTTAATAAAATAATTTTGCCAATGACCAATGACAAGGTAAGTAAAGCGAGTTCCATTTTTATTCAAAATGCAGCTGTCAATTTATCGTGGGGAATGGTTGTTTATAAATTTGAAAAGTCGTTATTTTTTATGTTGTTCATGTTGGCATTTAACCAGAATTTAAAAAAAAAAAAATTAAGTTCCACATCTGATTTAAATCGCTTTTCGAATAATGTTGCACAGTACTCTTGAAGTTTTCTCCTTCACTACTGTTAATATTTTAGTGGAGAGTAAAGAAAAAGGCTTGGTTGAACATTTACTGGAACCCGTCCTTTTATACATAGTATCTGTTTTAATTTAATCTGTTTCAATTTAATCTGCCTGAGAAATTTTAGTACAAAGGTTTTTGTCATGATTGTTTTTCATATTTGATTAAACGTCCTGTCTTAGACACATGTTGAGGTGTCGAGATTATTCTTTATTATCATTTATAATAACAAAATATAAAAATAGTTCAAATACAATTGATTAAATTTGCCCCTCAAGGTTTTTTCCAAATGCTCACAAAACAAATGAGCTTAATTTAACGGTACATGTATATTGAAATCAATCAGTTTAACTAATAAATATTTTTTGTGATTATACAATTTTGAAAATGATCATCTTCCCTTCATGTTTCTTAGTTTTAAGTGCTAGATACTCTTAAGATGGCATAAACTAATTCTTCATTAAGAATTACATTTAATTTATTACATATACATACGCGTTTTAATACAAGATAAAAAACCTCATGATAATTCTGGCGAAATGTCAGGTACTTTATATTTTGTAGTAAATGTGTAACTATGTATGGAAACTTTTTTTTTCTATGTTTGAAATACTTTCTTTAATCTAAAAATGCCACAGTCAATATTTCTAAGAAACTTGTAGACATCTGATAGTAATGGCTGTAACTTTCAAGGGATTTAATATATTGAAAATCTTATTAATTTTGTACATTGGTTTCAACTGGATTAAAATAATGTAAGTGACCATTAGATTAAAAAAAAGTTATTTCCTTAGGGAAAAGAGACAAATATAATGATATAAATTTTGTATGAAATTTAAAAAAAAACCTATATAGGCGTTTAAAAGAAAAGAAGAAAATTGGATTGCAACCTGCAACAGTGCAACAGTACAAAATAAAAATAGTTGTTGATATTAAAATAAACATGACATTGAACGATATTTATTAAGTTTTGATCATAGTAACATGAAATGTCATAGATGATATTTAAATTTTTGTTGACCACCTGCAACATCTATAAATTATGACACTAACCAGGAAATTAATAAAACTGTTATCGCACATATTAACCAATAAAAATAAAATGTAAAAATAATATAAAATGAAACAAGCGTTTCCTTATTTTAAACTTTGCATAATTATTTTTAAAGGGAGGATTTCTGCGATCTGGTGAGAGATTTCATTCTTTTAAATGTATATAAATATATCTTATTTGACTTTGACATACAAATTCAATTTCAAAATAACACCCTAAAATTATTTAGTATTCAGTGCGGTTATTTGATTGCATATACCCTTTAAATAATGCTGATGTCTAGTTTAAGATTTTAGAAGTGAGAAAGAGAATCTTCCCCCTCTCCTTTCTCTGTTAAACTGACAGATTTCTTCTCTTTGCCAATAATCATTTTTTTAAAGAAACGATCGAATTGATTTCATACCAAATAGGAGTACTCATTGTACATCTGTTGTTTATTCTCACTCACCTTGATTTTATATCTATAAAGTTATTATTTAAGAAGAAGACGACACTAAAGATATAATATTATATTTGAACTCATAGATATTTCTTTTTAAAGAGTGTAAGGAATGTATATTCGAATTATGATATAAAACTCCAATCCATAGATGCAGCGTTTTACCATGCGGATGTTGATTGGTGTCATGTCCCTTCTGATGTCTGCATATTTTGTCGAAAGCTTTATCTGTCTCCGAACATGTGACCTGGAAGACTGCAAATCCAATTGTCAAGCAAACAATTATTTGTATGGCATATGTTTGTTGTCAGATATTTGTCCAGGAAGTATGCGGTACTTCTGTAAGTGCATGGTCAAAAGGACAATAAGTAATCGCTGATACGATGCGATAAAGAAGATTGAAATACACACATGTATTACTTTCAAAAATAAATGACAGTAAAATAAGTGAAATGACTCAATAAATCTTTGTTGTTTGTTTATTGTTTATCGTCCCAATCGAGAATTTTTCACTCATATGGAGATGCCACCACTTGCCGGTGGAGAGCTGCATATTTTGTCCTATACTCGGCACTCCATGAAGGATCGTTTTCTTGCCAGCACCTACTGCGACACGGGACATCGGTTTAAACAGTCTTATTCGAAGGACCGGTCTTCACGTCCCACAGTGGGATCGAACCGGCGACGTAAGGATCAACTCCTTGTTTCGCGAATCTATCTAACAGACACTATAACCACTTTGCAATGGTAGAACACTAGAAAAAATCAGTATATGGTAAATTAAACCTCCTCTCTACAATGTATGTTTGTACATTTATGAGAATATTGTCATTGTCACCTAGTGAGTGTTTTTATTGAAAGCAAATTCTTTTAAACCATGGTTTTAAAATTTTAAAATTAACAATATGCCAGAATTTTTCATGTACATATATGCCATGTCGAGACTGATACTAGAATCAGTTTTCAATAAATCTGCAAACCCCCCCCCCCCCTCTTCCGCGCAAAAAGGTACAACTCATATATCACTATTTTGCATTGGTAAATTATTTTCTTTACTGCATATTATTATGATGTTGATCGGTAAAGAGGGAATGTTGGCAGGGAAAATGAGTGGCACTGTTGGCCGGAAGTAGAAAAGCCGTATTCCTAGGATCCTTCCCGAATGCACATATTAGAAATCCAAAGTAACGGGTTATTAAGTTTCCGAGTTTATTAATAAAAGCATGTAATTAAATGATGGATAGCAATTTTGACATTCAAGAAATACACGCAGGGAGCACAGACGGAAGTGGCCAGTAATGCGTCGGGCCTCCGAACTAACACATACAATTCAAATACTCTTATATAAAAGAGTTCTTGGACAACAATTAGCAAAATGAGTGACAAAATGACATGAGTCGATTAAATTACAATCTGTGAAAAGTTTCGATAAGATGGACATGAAAGAAAGATCAATGTAATACTAACATGTAAAGTTTTTATAAGAGACTAGTGACTGTTAACACCCTGTCCCTTGCATTGTCCATAGAGTGTCACTATGCAATGAAATCAATAATTAGTTATTTCACTGTCCAGTCATAAAAAAAGATTCAGAATTAATTTCAGTGAAAATATCTGATTACACAGATTTAAGTTTAAAATAAAAGTCCAAAAGAAATATTGTAAAAAAAGGTCAATTCTGCATGGTTATAATATGAACAAAGAAATGTTTTAATGTCGAGATTTTTAAATTTATTACTCCTAAATATGTTGTAAGATAGTTAAGATATACTTAAGTCACCTCTACTGGCCATCTACGTTTTGCCAAGATTGTTAAATCTTAGCACGCTTCTAGTTACGGTCTTAAGGCTAAGACTGCACTGAAGTCCTACTTAAGCATGGTCATAGACTTAAGTACCCTTTATGTTACGAGCCCCTGGTGCATGACATTGATTTTTCATTGTAAATTCACTTCCGGTTTTGAAATGAAATTTAAATCCTTCTGTCAGGTATGGACAAGTAATACACCTGGGTTAGTTGCATCTATTGATGATTGCTGGTTCGTTATTTTTATCTGCAAAGGGTGCTTTGGTAAGATTAAGATGTAATTTAAGAGACGGGCTTTATTGCTTAAT